CAATCAGTTTTTCCATATATAGTGCTATCCGACGTATGACGTACCCCTCCCTCGACCGGCTCGATGAGGACGTTGTGCGAGTGTCGTGTTTAAACGGTCGCGTTTATGCCGGTTTACTTATTTACCATATTCGCTATGTTTGCCGCCTACGGATTGTAATGCTTTTCGGCATCTTCAATTAATCGTTTGGTTCTCCCTTCTGAAAGAGATGCCACCTAGAACTACAGGCAGGTTTCGAAGCGGATATGCAAGCGTAAGAAATCGTAAGCAAGTCTCGTTTAATAAGGTTTAGGCCATAAGGGAATTATACTGGAGGGATTCGTCAAGGTAAAGAGCCTATCCAAAAATAGTCGAAAATGACTCCTAGGTACTTAACTTTTTTTTTCTTACGTGTAGAAATCCGTTATGAATACCTGGCTAGAGAAGAACGACGCTGGCTCCACCATCCCCGCGGTGGAGACTACATTAAGCCACCGATCTCCATGGGAGCTTTACTGGGCAATTAAGGGCTTCGCCCTAATTGCTCAGCACACCTGAAGCCCCGTTTCTGGTAGGGGAGCACCATTTCTATTCGGAGAGCCGTGACGAGGCGCATGGCCGCGTCGGTGGCCCCGTCTCCGAGTGTGATCTGTTCTCTTTCGATCCCGCTCAGCAGCCTCTTTCTGGACCATTACTGTCTCACAGAAAGACGCTACGGCGCTCCACGCTGCCTCTCCTCTCATCATCACCGACACGACTGCAGGCAGATCGAGGTTTCGCCCTATGTGGCCCACCAAGACACTCCGCTCCGCATCCCAGGCAGGGCACACCGCCAAGGTATGCGTTGCAGAGTCTTCGTTGTTCCCACCACAGTGGAAGCAGATTGCCGTGGCCTCACGACCAATCTTCCACAGATAATCACTAAAGCATCCATGCCCTCTAATTATCTATGTTAGCCTGTAGGTGTGTCTACCTTGTCGCCGCTGCATCCAGGTGTCGAAGACCGGCAGGAAAGCTTCAATTACACGCTCATGCACGTATTCCGAGCCGATAGCGCCATGTCGCGAAAGCTCTCCGTTGTTCCTGCCGTTTTATCGATTCAAGCGCCTCTTCTGGCTCACTACCACCACTCTGACGGAGGGCGCGTTTTCGGTGGTACACCCGCGCATCCATTTCCGCCAGTATATCTAGGGGTGGGAAGCGAGCCAAGACAGTTGCCGCCTCGAATGATATGGTTCTATATCCTCGTACGACCCGTATAGCTATCCGTCTCTGAACGCTATAGACCTTAGATCTACAGCGTCGAGTAGAAAGCCTCTTTGCCCAAACGGGTGCCCTGGACAAAGCTACGGAACGTACAACCCCTGCGTAGAGGCGGCGAACTTCCTCTATCGGTCCCCCAAGATTAGGTAGCAGTCTGTGCATTGCACCCGCTACCTTCTCGATCGGGGGGACTAGGCGCTCGAAATGTTGTACGAATCCCCAGCGGCTATCCAAGTGTAGGCCCAGGTACTTGATCGATTTGCTCACCCTGTCCTCAGACCCACCTACACGAATGCACGAGTCGAGTGATTTTGCAAAACCAATCACCAGTCGAGATGTTGATCCGAGTATTATCGTGATCCGTGACCCGTGTCTCATCTGAAAAGCCCGAAATGGACTCTTGGGATGTCGGTTGAGTCGCGTGCAGAGCATTGGGGAGAGATAGGAGCCTTGAGAGACACCCGCCGTGAGAGATTACACTCTTCTGCCTAAAAGTGTGAGAAGAGCGAGATTAATGCCGAAAAGCACGAAATCATATATTCAAGTCGGGCCTGTTTGAGTTATCTTTAGATTTCAGTGATATATTAAACGACATTAATTAATGAACAATTAGAGAAGACATAATTATTTATTTAAATTGAATGTTTATATGCAAAACAGGTTCTTAAAAACCAGCTATTCGTTAACGTTATGGCTTTAATTTTAATGTGTACCTAAAATAATATGGGTGCCTCATCCTTATTGTTAATATCACAAGAAACAGTAATTATTTTAATGTAATATGGTAATAATTATAATGTAATAATAATAATATTATTCATTTAGACATGCTCGTGGTATGGTTTTCGCATAGATTTCTATATCGATTTTACACCAAAACAAACAACTCCTTCCAAAACTCCTTCTAAATTATTTACCTATGCTATAAAAGTCTATTAACTAACTAATAACCTTTGAAATTTCAAACATCTAATCCTTAAGATTGAACCGCTCTAAATTGTGAGTTATTAGACGGGTCGGTATCTTAGTTTCATTATACATGCAGATAGTTCAAATACTTTATGGTTAAAGATCATTAACATTTCAACAAGTGTGAATTTTACAAATTATAACATTGCATGAACATTAATTTGTATGTTTAAAAAACGGTTGTAGACTTGGCTTCAGTTATCTTTATAAAAATCTACTTCAAAGAAAAGCTCGAAAGCCGTTGAGTTGTAGTACACAAATGTCCGGGCTCTCGCTCCAAATTCAATATACTTGAGCAACCCGAGTTCGATCCCCGGTGGCGGATACAATGAAATTGTTAATTTTAAGTGCTGAAATATCACATGCTCAGCGGTGAACGAAAACATCGTGAGGAAACCGGCATATTTTCGAAATAACAACAAAAAATGTTTCGAGGATATGTGAAATCCGCAGTTGGGCCGTGTGGTATAGGCTATGCCCTAATACCCTGTCTATAAAGGAGGCCTTTACTCAGCAGTGGGACGTAGGTATATAGGCTGCTACTTTACTATTTTTTTTACTCTTACACAATTTATCCCCAGAGCATCAGAAAATAGTTTGCATATAAGTTCTGTATAATTTTATGTGAATCTAAAGTTCGAGTAACAATAATGTTCGATAACTCAAAAAATATCTAAAATATAAAACGGTTATCTTTAAAAATAGTATATCAGTTACCTATATATAAAAGTCATGTTTGTTTGTTTGTATCTTATTCGCTGCCGGTAATCCGATTGCGATAATACTCACTTGCACGAAGGTTATGTACCTACTTATAGGACAATAATTAAAATACAGTTAAGTAAGGTGTCGCGTGTGTTCTGCCTAATTATAATATATATATTATTTATATATAAGTTATTATATACTATATTATTTATAGTAAGTAATATTATTTCTTAATTAAATACTGGATCTTATACTGGATCGATCTAAGTAGATCCATCCGTCTGCTAGTAAACGCAGAATTACCCACAGGACAAACACGTGACGAACGCTAACACACAAGCAATTATTTCGTCCTCGCCTACGAGCACGGCGAAACAAACAGAAGGCATACACGAAATACGCTTTGCGTTTCAGGTCGCTTCTCACCCTCAGTCACTGATGACTATAGTAAACGGCCATCAGGGTCACGAACATCTAAGGTCCGTAAGGTCCCCTAACATGTTTCCTTAACATTAGGAAACGCAAGCATACGAGTAAGCACCCAATCCGTTACTCGTCGGTACCGTCACCTACAGACACCTACGGCTAGAAATTCTTCCAGTCAGACTATGGTTACCGATCGAGGCGAGGTCCGGCCCTCCCGGGCACCCTCAACATACATACTCGTATACATGGCCCTACCCGCCGCAAAGGGCCATATCAAACTCTTGTGATCGGGCTGCACCACGAAGCCTGCATTCGATGAACCTTTTTTTACTCTACGGAGTGAGAGCAAAAACATAAATTAAAATAAATTATAAGAAGATTCTTTCAAATAAAGCCTTGATTGATTATTTTCTTCAGTTTTAATGTGAATTAAAACTCACACAGAGTAAACTGTAAGCCCCTATTATAAAGTAAGCGATAACTTTGCTCCAGTCTACTGGCACGTATAAGTTATTATTACTTCATCGGGCTTTGTTTTTAAGTAATTATATGAAAAGACTCTCGTAACAATATCCGGCCGCGCATCGAACAGTGTGTAAATTAGTATTACATGCGATGCTCATTAATGTCGCTTTAATTACGAATTGGGGAATGTTAATAAAGACCCCTTTAATTTTGATTAAAAACGTTTGATCATTAAAATTCGGTAGTAGTCCCGTTTGATATATATATATATATAATTGAAACAGTGCATCAATGTTTCAAAGGTTATTATTTGTTAAATAGGTTAAGAACTACACTACGTCTAAGGTTATTTAAACCAATTAGCAATTATCATCTGTTTTATTACTGTAGTAGGATATGCAATCGCTTCTGCTGTTGCACGAATGGGCAGGTTTGTTGGGGGGGAAAGCAGCCTTAACAGACCGGCGTGAAGTAGAATTATCATATTTTTTTTCTGCTTCTGGTAAGCTAATCAGAACTTTTTCTTATGTGAGAATGTGGCAAGTGTGCCGTCGGTTCATCTGAAGTTAGATGATAATCTTCTAAATCTTAATTATAAGTTGCAGATGCTTTGCCACCTTTCAATAAAGTGGGCTCCGGCTACCTCTGTTGTATTTGTAGTATTCAAATACAATAAAACACGAAATATACTTGATTATTCTCCGTTTACACTCCGTTCACACACAGATTATTCTCCGTTTACCCACACTATTCAAACATTACAACCTCACTCATCAGACGTAACGCAGTAGTTTAGCAATTCCACTTCACGCAGCTCATTCATTAGATTGATTTTTTTTATTATTCGTTATCTATTTCGTGTTGCCTTCACCCTTAAAGACTTAATACGCGTAAACTTCACGACACGTTCATAGAAAACGTAATTATTTTCTGTCTCCCAAGTGAAATTACTGGTTAACTTTGCTCCGATATACATAATTGCAAAACTTCGATGAACTCTCATTTAACTTTCTTCTTAAACACCGATAAATTCAAAACATAAGTGGAAAGTCGGCAACAGCGGATCAAAAAGTGCGGCTCGTGAAGACACAAACTGTAACGATAAATATATACAGAACCTATTAAAAAGTTAAATCGAATAGTGAAATGTTCGTGAACTGAACAAAACAAAAGGTGCAGAAACGTTCAAAATGTGGAATCCAAACGCCATGGACAACAGGCAGATGGAGAAGAGGGTCGTTATAGGCAGAGTGAGACCCACGTGGGCGCGAAACTTACCAGAGGCGAGAGAAGAAGACGATAAGAGCGACCAAGAAGTCGGCGTGATGCCCCACAGCGAGCCACCGTCGCCCACCGAGACCTGGGAGCAGACCAAGCAAGAGGACAAGTACGATGTGTTTGGGAAGGTTTGTTATTTCACAGTACAAAATATTCGAAAAAAATCCATTTACCTACTATGCTTTGTATAACCGATCGTCTGTGGTGGCTTTTCAAGTTTACCCCCAATAAACTTTGCGGCCCCTACTGACCTCTGAAATTTGATATCCTAGTCCGCAATCATAACATGATTAATATTATTAATTACATTTAATTATTATTAATTAATTACATTTATTCAATAAAATTTCAATTTTATTATTTGTTCTCTATCGTCTTCATTACATCAGTTTTTTCTTTCTCGTTATTAACATGATTTTGAACTAGGGTTTCGTTGTGTCGGTTTCTTAATTATTTTTACAACCCACGATTTCTGAGCTAAAAAACTCAATCATGTTCTAATTATAACATGGAGTAAGTTTAATGTGATAATGTTTTCAAGATATATTTTTTCTGTAGCTATACAATGATTTTTTTCTTTATTTCTGTAAGACAAAAATCTTTGGGCCAAATTTGCCGCCCCCTAATAATCGCCGCCCTAGGCTCTAGTCTACTTAGGCCAGTGGTAAACCCACCGCTGCCGATCGTTCTTAAAAGATTGACGTCAAGCAGTAGGTTACACTTTTGAGAATTCTCTAATGTAGCAGGAGGAGAATATAACCTTATTGAACTGCAGTTAAGCTCTCGCAAAAAGTACCTAGATTGTGGCTCAGGCTCTTATATTCCTAGGCAACATAAATGCATGCTTAAATCCTAAATATTGCTTTACGATTTGTTTTAATACCAACAGGTGTTAAGCTGCAGATCTAATCTGTTTCAGGTGATGCTTCTTGGTGACAGCGGTGTCGGGAAGACCTGCATGTTGGTCCGATTCCGCGACGGCACTTTCCTCGCCGGAAACTACATTTCTACAGTCGGGATAGACTTCCGGGTACAGGATAAAGGGCACGCGGAATAGCGGCCACTTCTCTTTCATGTTGTCAAGTGCATGTTTAAGTGTGTATTTTCGTTGTTTATCCCGACACGTATTTGAATGGAATTTCTTATAGTGTTTGGGAACTTCTTTAACTAATGGAACACTTTTCATATCGTAAAGGTTTTGTTACTTTATTAATTAGAAAAGAATCACCAATGACTATGTAAGTACTCGCCTTTAGGTTGTTAAAATAAGAGCATTTAAAGTTCGAATTCATCGTACTTCCAAGAAAAGAATGCCTTCGCTTAAATTTTACAACTATGTTAAGAAAGTAATTTAACATTATTAAAACTTTTAATGGATCGCATATAAAAGGTAAAGTTTAGATGATAAAATATTTTTTCTTTAAATGAAAAGAATTTTAAATTAACAGATAAACGTTAACGAACTAGTAGATTAGATTAATGTAAAATAAACGTTAACTAACTAGTAGATCTAACAAGTACTTAGATAATAAGGTGCTAATCTCTGCCATTAAGGTGAAGCATTAAATTTGTAGCTAAAATTATGAAAAGTTTTTCGCCGCTGCGAGAACCGAATCCACGTGTCCCGAATTCGCGCCAGACGCTTTAGCCGGTAAGCTAAATGGCTGATTGTCACACTGACGAAAATTTCAACGCATTTTATCTACATTCCTTTACAGCACACTGACAATTTCTAATTTCGTTTTACAATGATAATTCGAACTAGACATGTCGCCATTGCTATTTAAAATTTAAAAAAATTATAGTGCACTTAAAGTGCACATTAAAATTTGTAGAAAAAATGGACGAAAAATGGATAGATTCCTGCGGCGGCGAAAAAAGTTTCGTTAATTTTTTCTACTAATTTTAAAGTTCTCCGTTTTATATTTATATAAATAATGGGAATTTTAAATACGAAATTGAATGTAAAATTTTGTATTTGAAAACAACACTACCGTTCCGTTATAGGTGGGATATTGTGTCACGTGCTACAGTATAGAATAAAAAGGCAATTAACTAATAATAACCCAAGGGTTCGGTCAAAACGAGCCAGTCACGGATACACGCGGCCCGTTTGCCGCTACGCCATTGGCGTTATAGTTTGGCGCGCTTTTTCCGTTCCCGCCCCTAACGCGCAGCTGTGATGGAAGTGACTCCATCATTGAGTGATTTATTGTTACGGGGTGCCTTTTTTGTTCGCGCTTTTTGCCCCTTGATTTATTGCATCTGTCGCCGACTGCTATTACGGCCGCCGAGATAACGTTATTATAAAATACCTTTATTGCTTCTTTTTCTTCTGAGCAAAGTGGTATTTTATTTTATCGACCTTAATTCTGGCCTCACGACCTTTTTGAAAAGTTTACTTCTGAAACAAAGAATAATGTAATGACTGGAGACTTGATATCACTATAATTTTAGAATCATAAGTAAACTTATTATTTTTCTAAGAGTACCTATCAATTAGGTACATAAAATATTATATACGATAAGCTTAACTTTAAAGTTTATTTTTATAACATTGTAGTTCGGACTAAAATATAGATAATATTAACGTGCAACAGTTTACAGTGTAGTTTCCGTAATAGTATAGTGTAAATTTTATTAATACAATTTACTTTTTATGTACTTCTAGCGCCATCTGTTTACAGAACAAGGTAGTTACTGTGGATGGCGTCAAGGTAAAGCTTCAAATTTGGGACACAGCCGGTCAAGAGCGCTTCCGCAGCGTCACACATGCTTACTACAGGGATGCGCATGGTAAAATACTTTTCGTCAAATAATTTTTATTGTAGGCATGTATGTATATACTATCAATATACTATTCTTTACAAGCTGCAATAATCTTTTTAATTCTTGTGGTAAAAAAGTGCAGTACAGCGCCATCTATCCATAACATCATATTTTATGTGAGAAGGTGGAAAGCCGACTGGCGGTTCACCCGATGTTAAGTGATAACCGCCGCCTATGAACATTGCAACCCATAGGGTTGCAGATGCATTTCCACCTTTTAACAAAGTTTGCCCCGGTTACCGCACTCACCAGACGAAGCTAGAAGTTTAAACTTTCGATAAAAAAGTAAGTCAAGGAAAGTGTAAACTTTCGATTCACTTCGGTCTTCTATGCGCTTGTGGTACTTCGACGGACGGACCTACCCATTCGTGCAACAAAGAAATGTTGTATGGCACCATCACATTTTTTCCACGTACAAAACATGATTGTATAGAAGATATTTTAGAATATATGCTGATTCTTATTATTAAATTAATAATAATGTTAGTTAATACACTAGTTTTCTTAGGGTCATTACTAAGACCCCACTGTCTGTTTGTCCGTTTGTCACCAGGCTGTATCTCAAGAACCGTGGTAGTTAAAGAGTTGAATTTTCACAGATGATGTATTTCTTTTGCGGCTATAACAACAAATACTAAAAAAATTGGTTAAAATTATTTAAGTGTGGCCCCCATACAACAAACATGATTTTATTGTCGGTTTTATAGATAATGGTACGGAACACTCGTGCGCGAGTCCGACTCGCACTTGGCCGGTTTTTTTTAATGTAAAGCCATCACTAATGTGACTCACTGCATGTTGAAATTTGATAGGTAGCACAAGCAATATTTTGAAAAATACTAGGTATAGTCAGCCGAGGAAATTTTGACAGCCCCGGTCTGCTCCTTTATTCATTATTAATAACATGATTCTTCGCACCGATAAAGTCAATAGATTCTCTACAATTCCATTAGCTTATACAGAATAAAATATTATATATACAAAATCGGACATACGAATGGCTGGCTCCATCTTTAAAGTATCACGGCCCCACAAAAATCAGTGGGAAGTGAAAGTATTTATACGTTAACGTATCGTCTAGTCCGTGAGGTTACCGGAAGCGCACTCTTAGTGGTTGGCAATAATGCCTGTAAAATCTCTGGTGTGAGTGTTGGTGGTGGTGGTTACTTAACAATGAACTGCTCTTTAAGTTAAAAATTATTTAATCGAACCCGCGAATTTGCGCTTATCATTATGACCAAGTTTCCTATTAAGCATCATTGTGCTATTCCAATCTTTCACTGCGACTTTGCGAATTAGAGGCATAGCTCATTAGCTAGATATCACTAGAGATGCGCCGAACATGGATTTATCGAAATGCTATTATAATTTAATGCTGTCCAAACTGTACGAGACTCAACAATTGGCCGAACAATTCGATACAACAGTTTATGTTTCAACGGAAGTTAAAAAACTTTTCTTATTATTATTTAAAATAAAACTTTAATTATGTTGATTATTTATTACGTTAATAAGTGATGACTATAGAGTTTGTGTTTGTTTCATGTAGAAATATTTACTACCCATAGATATTACGGAGTGAATGATTAAGTGATACGGTTTTCAGAATAAAGCTTTTCTTACATAGGTACGTAAACCTAAAAATGTTTTTATTCAAATTTTCAGCAAAATAACCGAATATTCGACGCATCTCTACTCGACGCTCCTCATTAGTTTTTCTTTCTATTAGGTATCTTTATTCACCATCAACTAAAGTGGTGCTGTTTTGAATACACGTGTTAATATTATCGAAATCGCGTGATTATAATATATCGAATTTTCATAATTATTTTTTAAATCATTATTTACATCTGTTATTATGATTATTTACTTATTAAAAATTCATCATATTAAAAAAATTAAAAGCTGTGAAAACGCACAGCATATATTATTGCTCCTTCTTATATTTCTATTTTCGTTCTCATCAAAGTAGTATGTGCGTATGACAAAATATAGAAAAACTGATTCATAATAACTTGAAGTAAATTGTGAATGTGGGTTGAATGTTGAATACCTTATGAATATAAAATTTAATTGTCATCCATTCATATATGTTCATGAGTACCTAGTCTGCTAACTTTCCACTAGTTTGATAAATAAAATATAATAATTTAGTACTTAAAAAATTTGCTGAATGTATCTTTTAATCACCGTCAGCGCTTCTACTTCTATACGACGTGACCAACAAGACTAGTTTCGACAACATTCGCGCCTGGCTGGGCGAGATACGGGAGTACGCACAGGACGATGTCGTGATAATGCTACTGGGTAATATTATAACTATTCTATGTAACTTAGTGCTAACTAAAATTTTACTGATGTACAGTTAACACTTGATTCGTTACTTTATTTTAAATTCGCATACTTCATACGCACACAGATTATAATATAATGTCGTGTATCGCGCTCCGCTACATTTGCTAGTAAATCCATACCTCCATACTAATATTATAAATGCGAAAGTAACCTGTCTGTCTGTCTCGCTTTCACGCCAAAACTACTGAACCGATTTAAAAGAAATTTGGTACACAGACTTTTCTAGAGCCTGAGAAAGGACATAGGATATTTTTTAATTGGAATAAAATGTTGTAAATGGTTGAAATGTTAAAGAAAGATATTTATTTAATGGCGAAAATCTAGTCTAATAGAATCCCTATTTTACCGCACAGGGAACAAATCCGACAGCGGCCTAGAGAGGGCAGTGCGCCGCGAGGAGGGCCAGCGCTTGGCGAGGGAATATCAAGTGGCGTTTATGGAGACCTCTGCGAAAACCGGACTGAACGTGGAAGCGGCCTTTGCCCATGTGGCGCGCGCCCTAGTCGCGAAAGCGAACCCCGTCGACCCGTCGAGGCTGGCCGTGCGCGCGCAGCCGTCACAAGAGCACAGGTCCTCGTGCCCCTCGTGCACGTAGGCGCGGCGCTCGAGTCGGCCGCCACTTTTCGAAATTGGAACGCGGCCCGTTCGAACTGGACCAACCTTGAGCGCGCGATAAGCACTGTGAATTGTCACTGGCAGACGTGATAACGTAGCGCCATAGACAACAAAAAGTCTTGTAAATAGTACAGAAAAAAAATCCAGAAACTAGAGCAAAACAAATTCACACGCAAGTTCGTTCTTAAATTCAATTAGAAACTAAGTACCTACATAATTGTTATGGTTTCACTATTATTGGCACAATAAAATAATAAACTATTGTTATTTTATCAACCGACTTCAAAAAGTTCTCAATGTCAATCAGGGGGTTTCTCAATTCGACTATATATATTATGTTTATTTTTTTTATGTGTGTTCGCGGATAACTTCGTCGTTTATAAACTGATTCTGATGATTCTTTTTTTGTTGGCGAGGAGATATCCCAAGGGTGGTATCATGATAAGGAAATGGAATCCTAGAGAAATCGAGGGCAATCCTAAAATGTTACATGTATGAACAGTGTTTTTTTAGTTTCCTGTTTGAAGTCGGTTTTTTTTTCGTTAATAAAAATGGACTTGTTGCATTGGAATTAGTGTTGCCTTGTTTGTTTTCTCGAAAAATGAATTTAAGCTTTTTTACATAAATGATAATCTTTGATTACAACATAATCTCTAGCGGTAAATCCTTTAATTGCTACAATTTATGATATATTTGTAAGTAAATATAATGTATTTAATTGTATTTAGCAAGCATTTATTTTAAATATGTTTATATTATACCTACATATTTCAATTCACAGAATGTAAGCAAGATTCTGTTACCATTGCTTTATGATATACATATATTATGTGATCTTTTGAATGATAGCATATTCATAGGGATAGTCAATATTCGTCTCTTCAGTAGTAATGTGAAAACCTAAATAGGCAATAAATTTTCAATAATTACCAATATTATTAAAATGGTTCAAATTTAATTTTTAACTAACGAGATTGCTTTCGGTAATACCTAACTTTTTTCATGACTATGATAAAATTAGAACATTCCATGTTAAATACCTATACCATTAAAATAAAAGTAATAAAGTTATATATTAAATGTATTTGTATACACCAAATAAAATTGTTTAATACATTACGTAATATTGTATATTTGTGTATTGTGTGCCATTAAAAGTTGCTTGTAATAAAGTGCATTCAAAAAATAAACCCCGTGTATTATTATGGAGCTACGTACATTATTAAACAAGTTAATTATTACAATGAATAAATAAAGAATAAGATATTATAGTTTTTATAAGTTGAACACAAAGAGATGGGGAAAAAATATTTTAGTCACCAAACCATATTTAATACAGTTTCTATATAATATTTATTAATATGACAGTCCATTCGCCATAATTATTCATTCAAGTTTTCATGCGCCTTTTCTACGTTCACTACAACGTTTTATTTGAATACCTGTAATGTTGGCAACACTAGAAATAAAAAACATTGTTATGAGTAAAAACTCTTGCATTTTTAATAATTGATTTAAATTTTCCATGCCAAATAAAATAATAGTAAAATTATATTAAAATAACAATTTGAAAAAAATCCATGTATGTAACAAACGTTTAAAATATGTGTGAAGTAATTCGAACTTCCCGCTATTCCTAAACAGCTGCTAAGTTCACTGATGTTTGAATTTGGCGCTGTATCAGGCACTTTAGAAAGAGATAGATATGTTTTACATTGGTACAAAACCTTTGGAATAAAATGAAATACATTATTTTATAACTTAACGACTACAAGACAACACATATTTCATTTAAGTAACTAGGGATACAGTAAAACAATTGCTTTGGTTCTATAAATTCATTGATAATCAATAATGGAATTGTTCTAGGTTACAAATTTTCCACAATTTTACGTTAATTATTTACTTAATTTGTTTAAACAAGGTAAACTAGTATTTAAAAAAATATATTTAGTAATAAAATTTATTGTAAATGTAGTTTTATGTATTTTGTTCAAATATCAATTTTCTTCAAAATGAACCTTATTTTTAAATGTTGACAAGATCTGAATTGAGCTCTCGTTTGTGGTATTATGTTGGTAGCTCTGACGCCATTTTACACGGACATGCGCAGAACGACAGGTGGTCGGCGACTCGACCCAGCTATACCGACCGAACATCGACTTCTCATGCTCATCATCAGCCGCTTTCATACTCAAGCTAGAACGATGTGTAGTGCTTTGTGTTGAGGTGTTCGTGGTGACATGGCGTCCGTTTATTAAATGCTCTAAAAGTTAATACTTTAAAATTTTTGTTTATTTACAATGAGTGCGAATTATGACCGTGTTTGTAGACTGTGCTTGTCATCTCGAGGCGAATTACTGCCGATATTTCCTACCACCAGTTCGGATGACTCGGAACCTCCTGTCTTCGCATCAAAAATTAAGGATTGTGTGTCTGTAGAGGTAAGTAAAGGCTAAAATATGTGATGGAACTATGGTTTGAGTGAAAGTAGACCCTTGGTGTACGTGAGAACTCGTCATCCGCCCGGTTCGAGTAATGACAGGCAGCGCTGCGTTTAGGTGGAGATGTCGTAAGATCGTCCACCATTTTGTAATGTTCCACCGCTATCGCTCGGCTCGTGTGGCCGCGTCGCGTCGCATTCCGTGCAGCCGGCGAGGAATGGCGCGTATTGTGAGGGTCGGGTTTGGCATTATTCCCGGGGGTCTGGTCGGGAGGGGTCTGCGTGACGCTAGATAGGCATGATGGATGTATTGATTTATCGGACGAGACCAGGCCAGTGCAGCTTATCCCTCAAATCATGCGAGCGTCGGTGTCGGCGTAAGTGTGCTATAGATGTACATGTGTGTGTACCTATATCGAGCGGTAACCCTCGAGGGGCTCGCTGGTTGCCACTCGACTCGCTTCTACTTATTCGGTCGAGGAGCAGCCGTCCGCCGCGCGGTTATACCTACGCCTACTTAGTTTCTCCTCGCGTCGTATCTATCTATACACGAGGCGCGGTTTGACTCGCTCGTACTGATGAAACACGCGCGTCTTTCGGCCTTCATATATTGATTGCGTATGATTATTTTTTCAGATAAACGAAGATGACGACCTGCCAACTAATGTTTGCAGAAAATGCATGGACAATGTTAATAATTGGCACATATTTAAGGCTGTATGTGAAAGGGCACAAAACAAACTTCATACTCTGATTAAAAATGATGGCAGCCAACTAGAAGAGGTTGGTTCATTTCTTTGATTAGTTATTTAAGCTTAGAACTGTCAAGTAAATGTTGTTTACACAAATTACTTAATGTTTTCACAGGTGCAAATTAAAAATGAACCTTTGTCTGATGAAGCTTATGATGATGGAGTTGTTATTGATGCTACATATCCTGACCTTGAGGTATATTTTACCAGATATGAAATATAAAATATTGACATATTTTAACTTTAGCCTTTTTTAAAAGTAGTTGTTAATTACTCAATTTAAAGATTCATTAATGTAAATTCAACTTTTTCTAGATGTAGTTAAAAATTTTTGTGTCAAGGACATTTCTTACCAAGACAATTATTGTATCTTGTTATATATATATTTCTAGTGTTTAAAAATTTGTTACAGTAAGTAATAAGTTATTGCACTATTTTGGGAACATTTAAAGTACTAAATTTTAGTACTAGGCCTATTAATTTTTCTTGTTAAATTTCAGAATGCATCAACATCCAGTAAGGTGTTACCTGAAGGTCCACCAATATTGGCTTCATTGGGTCTTACACCACGCAGTGATAAGGTAAATATTCATGCTTTATCATTCAGAATGGTACAGTTGTGCAAAGTTGATATTGCTTTGTTCTCTTTGTATATAAGATGTACATTACTTTCACATTATTTCCTTTATTCCAAATAAAAAAGATATTTTAATGCAATAAAAAAAACAATGGTCCTTTAGGTATTGTTATTGAAATAGTTGAACCCTTATTAACATTAATATTAAGCTGTGATAGATACAGAGGTTATTAATTTTCTGCATTTCTCTAAAGGATGTGATTTATTACATTTGTATTTGTATAGAGCATTTGTATTGTTGTAGTGCCTCGTAAATAAATAAAATCATCATTTTCCAAATAAAATAAATATAACTTCAATCATTTCTGATACTAAAACTCACCTTTAAGTATAAAACCTTTAAAATAGAATTCTCTTTAAAATAAAAATAAAACAATTCATTAGAAAAATAAGTTGTTAGTGATTGCCTTGATAACTATGAAATTGGTGTTGTGCATCGTAAAAATTCACTATTATCATTTTTCCCAAACATTTTATTGTATTACATAATTTATTATATTGATATTCTTATTGGGTTTCTTGTATCAAGGAATAGGTTCATCAGCTTACCATAACCACTTAAATACTATGTAAAACAACATAATATTTCTTTTAATAACTACTTTTGTTTTTGTTTGATATCATTTGAATGGATTTAAATTATTATTATGGACTCAAGCTTGTTTTATTGGTATGTTTATTAATTCTCCAACTGTTGATAATATGAATTTCTTTCAATCTACGTAGAAACTACCTCGAATCTACCTAGAAAATTCAAGCATTTATTCCAGATTCATTGTGTAAGATAAATAATAATTTTTATTTTCAATGCAAACCAAATTCACTTGGTAATGTTCAACTTTTTAAGTCATTAATTTAAAAACATGATGTTTAAGATAATGCACACTTGTTGCAAATATTAATTCTTTTTATACAACTTGATATCAAACAATCAGGTAATTCTGAATTTGTTAATTCATTTTGTTGTCTAGATTTTTGACAAAATATCAATATTATGTTCATCTTGGCAGACAACCAATTGTAAAGCAGTTATTAAATTTAATAATTCATAAAGCAGATTATTAAACATTAAAACATTGTAGATCATTAAATTTTTGTAACAACCACTTAAGATGATTTGATATTGGTCTGATTCTCTTATTGGGTATGTCTATGAAATATTTCATAGTGTTGGGAGCATACAATTTTTTTGAGAGCCACAATATGGCTGTTATAATTTAAGCGCCTAACTACACTACTGTATAGTTAGGAGTAATATGTTTTAAATTCAATGATCATGTAGTTACTTCTTTGTTATGTTATGAATGAGTCCTAATGTAAAAAGAATATAGCAGTATGGTAATAATTTTTAATACTTGTCTCAAAAACTGGCATCTTGGTAGGAGGCCTATGGTTGAATAATATCTATTTAAATACAAATTATTTTGTATTTTTTTACTACTTTTTTAAATAAATAAATTTTAAATAAACTGAAGAGTTTTTTAAATAAATTAATTTAATAAGTTTGTCTCTATTTATATATCTGATATCTGTGTTTGTAAGTATTAGATATGGATTTCAATGATTTCATGAATTGAGGCCATATTTACACAGTATATTTTTGATGTTGTTGTAGAAATGTTTCTCCGTTATTTATTGTGCGTTGTTTTAACACAAAATATTTTTAGTGCTCCATTAGTCTTAGTTATGCTTAGTATACGCTGTGTATATAAATAGATGTTATTAACCTAAAGAAATGTTTTTAAATTTCTTGAATGTTTATTAGAAACTTAGTATTTCATTTTTCATCCTTGTAATTACAGGGCATGGAGAGTGAAAAGGACGAAGATGAAGAGTACGAAGAAGTGATGAACAACTCCAATCAGCGTTTCGTGAATGTGCCAAATATGCCGGAAGTGTCCATTACCGTAATGCGCCCATCCGGTGAGACATTGCATGCACGCCAAGGCATCCAGCAACTCGCTTCCAAAGATTGCCTTGTGTGTGGCCGATCCTATAGATATTCTCATAATGCCAGACGCCACGAAATCAATGCACACAGTTTCGATAGATATACAAATAAAGTTACCACCAAAAAGTCCCATATACAAATGCAACCAAAACTAAGACCGAATCCGTTCAATCCTAAAGCCCGACTCATGCCGAATCCAATTAGCCATAAAATGCAATTAATTCCGAAAGGGATAAATGCAAAGCTCATTCATCAGAAATCAGTGCCCCCACCAAAACCCATACCAATTAAAACAATAAAGGCCTCGCAAAATAATTTGCCATATCCGCTCAGAATAAAAGCGCTTAAGGACTTGCAAATAAAGAAAAAAGAACCTCAAATACTTAAAACTCTACTGACAACGAAACCCGAGGTTTTGGTCTCGGAACCGGAAATTATTAATTCAGCCCCAGAAAGTCCGGAAACATTGATTTCAGAACCGGAAATAGCTTCGTTTCAAGTAGAGGCTATTCTTTCAGAGCCGGATTATAATCCGCAACAAGATGATGAAGATGGGGATGCTGACATGCAGAATAATCAAAGCCAGAATTATGACACTGTTGATATGGATTCTGAAAATGAAATCGAAATCGCTAGACAGAAAGAAGATGCTGCCGAAGGGGAAGGTGATGATCAGCAAGGTGATAATGATATAGATGATGGTAATGAAATTGAAAATATGGACAATGGTGATGAAAATCATGTAGAAAGAAATCAAAGTGACAATGATAACGATCAAATAGATGAAGTTGCCGATAGTCAAGACGAGTTACAAATTATTAACGATGTTGAAGGTAGAGACGAAGACGATGCGAAAGAAGGTGAAGAGATCAACGATGAAAGAGACGACGAACAGGCTGAGTACAATCATGAAGAAAATGAGAATGATGACGATGACGACGAACTACCGCCTATGAGTATAGCTCCAGTTGTTGAAATCAATGAAGACATGCAAACAAATTCATATAACAGCGAAATAAACGAGGAAGAAGAGCTTGACGAAACTGTAGATCCAAACGATACAGTAGACGATGTTAAAGAGCTTGATCCCGATAAGTTGTATGTGACGAAGACGCAGAGAGATTTTATTCTTAAGTATCGTGACATAATCGAACAGATCAATACTAAAAGGTGTCTCTGTTGCGACAGAGAACATCCGCGCCGAAAAGCCGTCATACAACATTTACAGAAAAATGGCCACAAGGTACCTAAACATACGTGCTACAATTGCGTTGTTACGTTTGGACACATAGGCGCACTACTGAGTCACATGCGTTCCAACACGTGTACAGACTTGTGGAAAATTATTTACAACGAAAACGGAATCACCGATGACCTAGTCTTAGAAGACGAGCCTAAAGATACCAAAGTCCAGTACAAAGATATATTTAACGCCAGGTCATATGCGTGCAAATTGTGCCCGGCCAAATTCCAACTGAAACAATTCATCATGAAACACGTTTTGGACGTGCACGAGGATGGCCAATCGCGTGTGCAGCTCGCGTGCGTCCATTGCGGCTCTAGGTTCAAAGATAAGGCGATATGGAAGAAACACATTCGGAATGGTGAGTGCACAGTTTATATCGCATGCGACTTGTGCTCGGAAAGATTCGGCAACATGCAGGACTTCAACGACCACGCACTGGCCGTGCACGCCGGTAGCTTCGACCAATCTGATAATCAGAACAAGTGCGTCGACGGACGCCCGACCGATTGTCCGATATGCGGAAAAAAGAACAGCAGCTACCCCAATTTGGTTAAGCATCTAAAGATTATACACAGTGAAGAAAAGCCGCACTACTGCCAGCATTGCGACTCGAAATTCGAACAGGCCGCCGACCTCAACAAGCACATTTATATGGAGCACTCTGATAGGACTCTCGGAATGCAAAGCATCGAGCCCGACATGTCGCTCGTCAAAGAGGAAGCGGAGGAATATCACTATTCGTGCACGGAATGCAACGCCATATTCGAAACCGTCGACGCTTGGACGGATCATCAGGTGGCTGAGCACAATCAGGTCGCCCACCATTGTGACCAATGCGACAAGAAGTTCCTTAGGCCGTCGGAGCTCGCCGAGCACAAGAACACTCATCTAAGGGTCAAATTCTATCCGTGCAGCATTTGCACAAACTCTTACAGCACACCGCAGAAGCTTTCGGAACACGTACAGCAAGCGCACCCCGGCGCTGGGGCGTACGCACCCATGGACTCTGAATTTTTCTGCGATATTTGCATCAGATCGTTCAAGAGCCGTCAGGCCTATTCGAACCACATGCGCATCCACGCCAAGGTTCCAACCACCAATAGGAAACCTGGGGACCCGAAAGGGTTCGCCCCGCAAATCGTCGGGAAGCCGATTAGATCGTTCTCGATGGTGCAACCCAGTTTTCTTACGTTCAAGCCCAACTGTAACGTGCCCAATGCACCGTACTCGTGTGATATATGCGGAAAGGGATTCATGCACAAAAAAAATATTTGGAAGCACAAGAAAGTACTGCACGCAGATCTGGTAGGTGACAGGAACGATAGCGAAGAGAACACCATGCAGGCATCCACCGAGGAGGATGAGTATAATTATTTAGATGAAAACGGCGCTATACTGTCGACGCCGCAATTTAATAGTTTCAATTTCACGAACCTTACAAATAGCTTACAACAACAGACCTCTCAGGAGGCAATGCCATATTCTTGCGAATTGTGCTTCAAACGTTTCCCACTTAGAACCAGTCTATGGAAGCATAAAAGGGCCAAACACGGAATTATCAACGCTAGTGCCAGCGGAAGCGCAGACTCTCCAATAATGGCTAGTGAAAGTGGCCGTTCAAGTTGTACCATTTGCAAAATTACTTTTACTGATAAAAAGTCTTACTACCGCCATAGGAAAAACGTTCACAAGTCCTCCTCGCAGATGTGTAAGATTTGCGGGAAGCCTTTGAGTTCGACGTTGGAACTGTATGAGCATCTAAAAGCCGCACACGCGAGAGAGTTATTGGGATACAATGAGAATCAAGGTGCCAGTAAACCGGAGATCGTCCAAGATCTGGAAGTGGAATACGAAGGTGATCAGGATTCGGTAGATCCCTCTGCCGAATATCAGGCTAGATATCCATGTGACACTTGTGGCAAACAATTCGTCGGCCTACTCGCATTACAAAATCATCAATGCATCAACCAAATACAGTCATCGCCGCAAACCTTCGACTGCGAGATCTGCCACAAGAGTTACACATCGATATCCGCACTCAAGAGCCACCGCGGCTGGCACCTGCGCTCGCCCGACGGCAAAGCGGCCGCCAATAACACTGGCCTGTGGATGCCTCAGCACAAAGTCACCAGCAAAGTGAGCAAGCACGAGGTCGTTGACCCGTCGCAGCTGGCGCGGGTGACCCACTCGACGCCGGCGAGCGTCGCCAAGAGAAGGCTACCGCCGGAGGTGGAGGTGACCGTCGTGAATCCCAACAAGAAGATGCGCTCCGACGACTCGGTGGAGCTGGAGCAGCAGACCAACTCGATGACGGGCACGGAGGACAGGTACTGCACGATATGCGACAAGGAGTTCACCAAGCGGGCGGCGTACCAGCGGCACATGGACGAGGTGCACCAGCCGAACTCCGTGTTCTGTCCCGTCTGCGAGAAGAGTTTCACGCGCAAGTCCACGCTGATCGTGCACATGAAGAAGCACTACGAGAGCGGCGAGGGCAGCTCCGCGGCGGCGGACCAGATCGACGACGAGGGGCACGCGTGCGACGTGTGCGGCGCCCAGTACGAGACCGAGAGCGCACTAAGGGCGCACCGGGCGCGGCACCACGGCGACGATTCCGCGGAATCCGAGGAGGACGACGGCACCAGCGTGCCGCCGCCGGGCGAGTTCACGTGCGGCCAGTGCGGCGACGGGGTTGCCACGCCCCGCGACCTGATCGCCCACCGCGCCATGCACGCCACGCCCACCAAGTTCTTCTGCAACATCTGCAAGGTGTACTTCTCGCGCGCCCTCGACCTGTCCTCGCACACGCGCGCCCGCCACGCGGACAACGAGAAGGTGTTCTTCCCGTGCGCGATGTGCGACCGCTTCTACATGAACAAGAAGAGTTTGCAGCGGCACATCGAGATGGCCCACTGATCCCCGCCGCAGCCGCGCACGAACGGCAAACGGAGCAGCGTCGTGGCTAGATAGCTGTACATACTTTTGGACTTGTGATCACTTGATCATTGCTCGATGAAACAACAGTGAAACTGTCTTATGAGATATAATTTATATTATTTAAGCGTCGCGTCGCGTCATCGTCATTCCTCGTCTGTAATTCGTTTGGTTTTTCTTTTGTTTTTTTTTTTAATTAATAATGGTGGGTTTCTTTTATTTTCCTTCTGCCTTCATCATTGGAAGCCTTTGCTCATACGTCTTATTATTTATTATGCTGTTTTGTCCATTGTGATCTTGGAAGACTGTTACAAACTTATTTCGTTGTAATGGTAACTGTTAACTCGCATTGGGTGTGTTAGATGTACTTATCACGATTGCAAATAATTATTGTATGTGTTCGGTAATTATGGTGGAGTAATGTAACTATTTCTATATATTTTATTAATTGGAATAACGGGCCAAAATTTTTAAATTAGTCAAAACAAGTCATAAATTAGCACTTTTTATTATTTTAAAAATATATAAGTATCATTTTACTTCGAGAATATTTTTGGCGAGGTCATTGTGATCAGTGCGGATTTGTTTTTAATTTCTAAGATATTCTTAATATAAGGAATTACTTTTGTGTAAATAGTTTACGTATTTTAACATTAGTTAGGGAGTTGATAATTTCGACTAAAAATGGTCGTTTAAGTTTTCGTTAAAATGTACTGATTATTTCATAGTAATTTCAAATGTATATTTTATACAAGTTAAACTAACCACTAATGGCATATCTCCTCATCTATGGTAATAGACCTACGTGTTTGCATTGGGCCTACAGGTTATCTACTGTACATTTTAGACTTTAAACATGTATTAAAAATTGTTACATTAAAAAAATATAGCGTAGTATTTATACTTTTGCACAGAGAATTTACTTTAAGTTCAGTGTTGTCGTGTTATATGAAATAGTGCCAAAAATTTGCTTGATTCATTTCCGTTGTAGGTTATTTTAGGGTATGCATATGTAGTTGTAAAATTAGTGCTGTAAATTTATCAAATTGTATAATAAAATTTCAAATATGTACAATGTCAATCTGAATAACATAAGCTTATAATGCATTTACCTCTATAGTTATACACTTCTTGAATGTAATATCATGTATTCGACGAATGTGAAAAAAGGTTAGTTTTCTTTTTTTTGAATACGTAAAATTTTTACAAAAATATATTAAAGAGTAATTGTGATATGATTTTTTTTTATTTAAACTTAAAAAGACTTAAGTTTCTCGTTTATAATTTCCATAAGGTGAACTATTATACAGATTAAATTATAAGAATTCATATAAATCTAAAGTTATTGTGATAAGAGCGTGCCGGACTTTGTACCTACAATCGTTAGATTGGAATCGTCAATAAAGAACGTGACTGGTCCATAGATGAGGTTAACTTTTGTCATCTTCGTGGTTTGGTAAATAAAGTGACTTAATGATTGAGAATGCCTCTTATTGTTTTTATTTTCCCCTGTACTGTACTAAATGTATCTATATCTGTGTTTTATACTTTAAACGTTAAATGTAGTATGCCCTACTAAAACTAAGTAAAAAATTCTGAAATTACACGCACGCCATTGAGACTCGAACTTCAAATTTGAAATGACGTTGATTTTTGCCTTAGAACACTAATTCATAAATATTAATCTGACGGAACTCTATCGTGACACTGACAAAAATGAATCTATTAGTGTCCAAGATGAATTATTTTAGTGTCAAATTTTTGTACCTTTACATTTTTTTTATGTGAGAAGGTGACGAGTTCACATGATGTTAAGTGATAACCGGCCACCCATTGACATTTTGGGTTGGAGATGCAATCTACCGCGGAACAGAAAAAAAAAAGTCCAACAGGTTTTAAAAAAAGATATCTAAGCGAGATGGGTGATCTAGGTGTGTTTTAAGTTTTAATTATCCTGGAAGCCCTGAAATTCTTTCATGGAACGCCAGAGTTCCGCGGACCACTTATTAGGAAAAGCTACCCTAAGTTAAACGTCTCGTTTCTGTTTTCGGGTCTGCTGAAACTTGTTTATCTAACAGTGGTTTTTTGCCAATTATATTTATATTATAGTTTTGAACATGAACTTGGCACCTAGTTGTTTGTAACTACATAGTGTGAAAAACATGTTTTGAAACATACATTGCATGCAATTACTGACTATTTTGTTAATTACTGTTCTTACCATTTTTATGAACACTTGTTATATGTGAAGTTTTCTAACAAATAATTTGACATAAACTTATGAGTATATTGCTAGAAAGTACGTAGTGAAACATTAAGAAAACATTAATTTCACAAATATGCCACATAAGAATTGAACAGTTCCAACTTCTTAGGTATGTACATTTAAACCGCAATCCCAAAAAAAAACTTAGTATTAAGAAACACACCACAAATTTGTGTCTAACACTTGTGTGGCATGCACGGCAAACAACGCACTCAGCTTATTTTTTTTTAAACATTGCCTTCTCTTTAGGATGACTCCGTGGCACAGTCGCCAAGGTATTGGCTTCGACGTCGGGGGTCGTGGGTTCGATTCCCACACGGGACAACTATTTGTGTGACACACAGGTAGTTGTTTCGTATCTGGGTGTTTGTCCGCGTGAAATTTATGTTTGTAAAACGTCCTTACAACACAGGATAATGTTATCCTAAAGTAAGGGCAATGTTTTTTTTTTAAAAAAAGCAAAAAAAAAAATTAATTGCACGAGGACAAACACCCAGATGCGAAACAACTATCTGTGGGTCGCACAAATAGTTGTTCCGTGTGGAACCACGACCCCCGACGCCGAAGCCATTGCCTTGGCAATTGTGCCACGGAGTCATTAAGCTTAATGCTGCTGTCGATATGAGACTACAGCGCTGTTAGTGCGTATGTGGATTATTATTATGTAAAGTAACAGCCTATACAGCGTGTCGTTACCATCGCGACAATAAATGTTCACACGTCTAACGTTACTTGCCAATAATCATAAAAGAATATTAACGTTAAACAAAATCAATAATTAAAAAAAAATATTTTTCAAACAAACTAATTAAGTAAAAAAGAAACAAAATTTGTAACACCTATACAACTCGCGCCACAGCGTCTTATTACAAGCCTCTCCTTCTAACAGTATGTTTTGTCTCTTTTAAATTCATTCAACCCATTCATATGCTTTGTGACCTTTACAAATGAACTTTACGTTACAGTTTTATAGGTAATGTGTTCTAAAATTCTTTGTTTTGGAAAATTTAATAACTCTGTAAATATTGATGTTTAAAGAGTGTAAATGTTTAATACAATTTTAAAAAGTTATCCCCTATATGTGTGTTCATTTATTGTCGCGATTGTAAAGACACGCTGTATATGTCCCACTGCTGGGCGCCTCTTACAGAGGGTATCAGGGCATAGTCCACCACGCGGCCCCACTGCCGATGGGCGGACTTCACATATGTTCGAAATATTTTTTTTTGTTATTATTTCGAAAATATGCAGGTTTCCTCACGATGTTTTTCTTCACCACGGAGCACGTATTAAGTCAGTAGTTAAAATAAACAATTCCATTGATTCCGGTATCGGGGATCGAACCCAGGTTGCTCGAGTATATTGAAATAAAGGCGAGCGACCGGACACTGAGCTTATTCACGACCTGGTAAACGAAATTCGCTATCGCGGATTCTATTTACATTTTAATTAGGTACCTACTATTTTTGTTTCAGAGATGTGAACCCTTTCTAGGTTGTAGTGGACCTCTGATGGTCGGTACAGCCTTATTTAAATATTAATGCTCAAGTGTTACCATTGTGTAGTCATTAGCTGTTTAGATGAAATTTTGAATTAACTTATTAATAGATAAGAGATTTTGCTTTGTATATTTTTATCTTATTTACTTTTTGCCTCTGTGGTATGAAATGTTTTATATTTACAAGTGGAACCTGTGGGTCATTTCTAAATTATAATTTTAAATGAACTTATCGGATTCGTTTACTAAATATATTAGGTATTACAAAACTTTAATTTCTATTCAGATTCGAATCTACAAAGACAATTATATTTGTTTTGTTATGGATAAGTATGTTTGAGTGTTACCATGTTTTACATTAAAGGGGCAGAGGAGGGTGGGCGAGGGGTTAATAGTAATACAAATTTTAGATTGCACAAAACATTTTAATATAAACTTAAAAAGTCGTACAACAATATGAAAAATTATTATTGACTAATTATATTCGCGGATATGGAGTACCGCATTCACTATATTATGCAAATATTATATTATCTTTAACACTTCCATCGAATATATCTTACAAAAGAAAGAAAATAAAAAGTTATCCTTTATTAATAGAAAATCTCATTACGCTAAATTGTATTAATATTAAACTTACATTATAGATTTTATCTACAAAATACTGTAGCGTTTTGGTCAGGTTTTCAATCGAGCCCACTGCGTAGTTACGTAATCGCTTTTAATAAGAATAGGGTATCGATAAAGTATTAAAATCATACAACTAGACTTAAATCTAAATAATCAAAATATAAAAATAGTAAAAAAATAGATGCAAATTCCCTATAAACCTTGTCTTTGTTGCGCATCGGAACTTGAGATTGAATGTCCACAGTGGGTTTTAAGGCTTGATCATTAGGCAACTTTGTGTGGTCAGTTGTTTTTGTTTATTGCTACTCAATATGTATGCGCTCCGAAGGATACTTGCTATCTAATCGCACGAAGGGTAATCCTTGGGACACACGCATCGCCGATACGAACTTGAAACACAAAGCCGCCTAGTGAGCCACCTGTCTAAAGCAACGACAAGTCAACACGCGTACACTGCGCTCGGCACAGCCTAATACTCCCATACAACGCACCTCGATTGAAACACTGAGACCAATTGCCAAGTGAAATATAAAAAAGATAAATAACACATAGTAATTCATTTCCACGAATTTGCATGCACCCGTTATTTTATGAATTGAGAAATATTTTTTTTTCTATCATTTATCCATATCCATGTCTTTTATAACAATATCATATAAGTATACCGTACGGACTAAACCCGGCCGCCGAAGCGCGGTCGGCCGGTAATGTACACAAGGACTAATATCTTCTTAAAAAAATACTGTTAGATTGAAACGTAGCTAGACCTATATTTATGTATATCATAATTATTATAAGGGTACAATCGTACAAGTGATGATTAAACTATGTGAGATCTCCGACGCCTCAGGGCGGCCCGCCGCGCCGTCCGACCGCCTACCAACGGATATGCAAACGTTTAGTACAATACATGCCGATACACTATAATATATACTTAGTTAAGTATGCATTTCAATATTAAAAATACGTAATTCCTTTATTGGCGTTTCGCTTCCACGTGAAAAATTAGACGGTCCGCGTACGAATATATATTTATGTATATATATTGTATACATATTAAATATCAGAATTTTCTTAGATCGGAGGACGTATGTATACAGGCTCGCTCTAGAAGGTACGTCGTCGCAAGCGCACCGGCCACTCGGCCTCGCCCCTTACACCCTACCAATATTTTTATATCGACATCGAACGAAGACATCAAAAATCGACTCGGCTTTATTAAATTATTTTTATCAATAATTTCATTTAAATATTACGAAAATAAATCGCCGGCGGGTAGCGCGGCAGATTATTGCTTCTATCGATTTAATTAATTTACTTACACAAATACACCGACCGACCGACTGAGCGGACGTGACGCGAATAAAAAAGTTGCACGGGAGGAGGGGGGAGTAGAGAAAGTTATCACAAGCGGCGGGGCGGCGCGGGTGAGGGGATGCGCGCCCGCTGAAATTAAAAAAATATTACGCGGCGCACGCGTCTCTCGTAGAAAATTAGAGTGCTCTGTGGGGGCGCCGCGCGGAGGGCGCGGGACTAGCGCGCGGCTCAGTTGGCCAGCAGCAGGTGGGCGGGCGCGTCCCGCCTGGCGCCGAAGTACGCGCCCGCGTCGGCGCCCGGCGAGAGGGCGCGCGCGGCTAGCTGCTGCTGCACCGCCCTCTGCTTTATGTAGTTGCTGAACTCGGTGGGCGACATGCGGTTCGCCCGCTTGCTGCTCGTCTTCAGCTTGGTGCTGCCGAACTTGGTCTGCGCGAAGGTGGCCGTGGTGAAGGTGAGCGGCTGCGCGCGGAACGGCGGCGCGGGCGAGAAGGCGGCGGGCGCGGGGGGCGACGGCGCCGCGGGCTCCACCGGCCTGAAGCACTGCGCCTCCGGGTTGAAGGCGCGCGTCACCTGCGAAGCGACACGACATAATATAGCACATTCAAATATAGAACTGTACCAAAATCAAAGTAATAATAATAATAATGTTTATTTACAGCATTAGCACTACAAATTAGAAAAGCAATATTGACTTATAAATCATATACAAAACTTTCCTTAAGTTTTGTATAAGTCAAAGTCAAAATATCTTTATTCGATATAGGCTTAACTTAGTCTCTTATTGAACGTCAACTTGCAAATATCGAACTGTCCGAAAGTCAAAGTCAAAATATCTTTATTCAATATAGGCTTAATAGGCTTGAACGTCAAAAACCTACCACCGATTCACTAAATTAGACCTGAACAGAGAAGAACCGACAAGAATCTGTGCGTTTTTGTTATTTTTTTTTGTGATGCAAATATAAAAACTTATTTAGGAACAAAATCAGCAGCAGCCAGGGGTTTTACAAGTGTGGAGCAGAAGTAATTTCCACACATCCTTGTCCTCAATGAATTCTTAGACATTATAGTAGGCACTTTAGGGTAGCTTTTACAAATAACATAATCATATGTAAAATGAGTTACAAAAGCACGAAGTAAGTTTTGTCTCTTCAAAAATTACAGTGAGTGATTGTCGGTAGTTAACTTGCGTTAACTCTCGATACCATACGTCAAATGAAGGTTCGCGCTACCGATTTCCCGTCTAACTGTACGAATACTTTACTGTAACGTGCTTACGGCGCTAATTTTATTCAGGATTTGAATTTTTAGTTCCAAATAAGCTCACCAGAGCGCTGCCCTAATTTTCATGCAAAATTGATACGTTACGATTACTTTACAATTCGGTATTCGTAAATGTTCGTGATCTACCCACTGTTCGATGATAGAAATCGCCGCTTATACTCAATTGGCCAGAGAAATTGCCTGCATCATCATTAGATTAACAACGGCCTTCGTAAGTCTTTAGCAAGCGGTTATACAGCATATGACCTTGTTATGTATGTATTAAGGCTACTTAAGCCAATCGATATTAAATACTAATAAAATTATCTGTGGTAGGGCCACGCAGTAGCCTGTTGCACGAATGGGCAGGCTCGTCCGGGTAAGTAGCACGACCTCACAGAAGACCGGCCTAAAGTGGAAGTATGACAAATACTTTCGCGTTTCGTATAGTGAGTGAGGTAGCCCGAGACCAATTTTCCATAGGTTGTCAACCCATCTGTAACCCTCGTGTGTAGCAGATGTCCGTGGGCGGCGGTATTCACTTAACATCAGGTGAACCGCCTGCTCGCTTGTCAACTTTTCACATAAAATAAAAATTAAAATTACTAAAACATTACCTACCCAAAACAAGTAACTTATAAATCGTCTTAACGAACTGCTTCACTGTTTTTCCATATTTAAATCATAGACCAACAGTGTTGGCAATATCAAATCAACTATTTGTACCTACATCGATAAATCTGATTATTATGCTGCCGTTAACCAAGCGTTCACGTTCGCGGTTTATATTGATTGGCCGATTGTTACAGGCTTCGCTTGCGAAGAGCGGTTTTGCGCAGTTTGATAGCGATTTTTATATTCCTATACAATTTTGTGTTATTTACCGATGATATCTCGTTATGTATGCGTGTGTTTATGATTTTCATTATATGTATATACATTTTTATTGATAATTGGATTCTGCGGTTCTATGAGAAATTTTACATGTCAATGCGTCCGCGAATGCTAAACTTTACATGCTGCATTTTTATTTGATTCTAATGACAGAGGCGTGTTTACTCACCTCCCTGTCCGTCCTTTCGTCAGCAGCCCGTTCGTCGCTGCTGAACAGAACTTTCACAGCGCCTTTCTCGCCAATACGGTAGGAAACTTCACCTGAAAAGACAGAAAATAACATTTATTGCCGGCGCATTTCGATTCTCTCTCGTTCTGTCTCGTTCTCAAGGTATGGATTCCGGCTTTGGGTATCCGGCGGTATTTGCGTGACGGTCTCCAGAACAACCGCTATATTATGCTATTGTCTAATGGCATAATGTTTATGCGCACTAAATGCCTCTACGTAAGTGTTAAAGTTATCGGTGTGTTATAGAATTTCTTGGCGATCGCTAGTGTGACACGTTAAATTGCCGTAACAGAATGTAACACGCATTTGCATATTGATATTGTTAAAGATAAGTCGTACTTGGACCACGGTCAAATATGTTCTTCAGAACTACCTACATAAATCAGATGGCAGTCAAGGTTCCTCCCTATTACATAAAACATTCAGCTATCCGTTTTTAATTTTTACATTTTTATGGATCAGAATATTCGCTAGTTATCGCTGGACTCTTAAATTGCGATATTAATTTTGAGATTGACATTTTGGCCAATTGAAAAAGGGTATCCATTCGGTTCGAATGAATATCCTTCATAATATTTAGAGTATTACAATAGATCTCGTTATTACATTATCACTTAGCACCTAGATAAATAACGACGCACTAACGCGTATGAATAGCTGCTTGCTTACGGGGTCTTGCTTATATCCTGACCTCGGCTTCTTAGCGCCTTATGCAATGCTAGGCGGAGACACACTGTTCAACACCGTTATAAATATTTCAATCGCCACGTACGTTGATTTTATATTCTTTTCGATTAGTAAACGAAAACGATAATGTTTTGGTCTGATTTTATTATTTGTTAATGTTATTAGCGAATTGTTTTCGACATTCCCTTATAGAAAACAGCACCATGTTGGAAACCCGATATCAACATGATATGAATCTGATAATGCCTCTATTAAACGAACAATTTTTAAATACCTGTACCATTGCTCAGCGTGAATTTTCACAGACTTGTCAGATAATAGATACTCGTAGCTTATTCGATTCTAGCGGACACGATAGGTAGCCTATAGTGCTTAAGTATGTTATTTAAAAAAAATGGTATGACAATAATTATTAATTTCTATTTCACAGTATGAGCTTCAACAGCCAAGTTGTTCATAGTATACATGATTTCCAATAGATAAAATATGTAAAAGTCAAATTCCGAATGTCTGATGATTCCGTGGCGCAGTTGCCAAGGTATTGGCTTCGGCGTGGGTTCGATTCCCACACGGGACTGCTATTGTGTGACCCACACAGTTGTCTCAAATCTGGGTGTTTGTCCACGTGAAAATGTTTGTAAAACTTCCTAAGAACACAGGATAATGTTATCGTAAAGTAAGGGCAATGTTTTAAAAAAAATCAGAAAACACAAATTGAATGTTCAATGACCCAGCACTGACTAAAAATGTACCATGATAGTAATACACACCAGGATCAACCCAAACAGCCAGGTCCCTCGGAAGGTGTTCTAGGACATCGCGCACTGGCACCCCGGACTCGCGGGCGGCCCGCTCGAGTACAGGGTCCAAGGGACCTCCAGTCTTCAGACAGCGGAAGGCGGAACCCCTGCAGGGCCGGTCCGGGTACCAGTGGCCCCGGAACTTGTCCTTCAGCGCCTTCTCCAGCTCCTCGCCGAAGATGTTCACGCGCCGCCTCGGCAGCTTGTTGTACAGATACGATATCACGAAGTTGAGGGCGACCTGGACCTCAATATGCATGTTGCTTTCTCTGTGGACAACGGAATGTTCCACGTCAAAACGTATAACGTATGTGTAAGGCATCGAAAAAGTTATTTTGTGCATAGTTCTGCTACGTTATATCAATAAGTACTGGTAATTAAAATATGTAGAAAAAGTGCGAAAAGATTGTCGCCGCTGCGGGAATCGAACCCACGTCTTCGGCATTCGCGGCCTGACGCTCTAGCCACTGAGCTAAACGGCTGATTGCCACACCGACGAAAATATTAACGCATTCTTCCACATTGTTTACTTAGCATTTGAAGCAATGCTTGGCGCCATCTACATATTTTAATGTCCAATCTTAAGTGCAAAGATTAGCACTATAAACAATTTAAAATTTCTAAAAAAGCAAGGCGACATCTCTCGTTCGAATTATCGTTGTAAAACGATATTCGAAATTGTTTGTATGCTGGAAAGGATATAACAATAGATGGCGCCAAGCATTGCTTCAAATGCTAAGAAAACAATGTGGAAGAATGCGTTAAGATTTTCGTCGGTGTGGCAATCAGCCGTTTAGTTCAGTGGCTAGAGCGTCAGGCCGCGAATGCCGAAGACGTGGGTTCGATTCCCGCAGCGTGGACAATCTTTTCGCACTTTTTCTACATATTTTAATGTTCAATCTTAAGTGCAAAGATTAGCACTATAAACAATTTAAAAAAGTACTGGTAATTAAAAAAAAATTATTATAAAAGGTTTTTACATCATAAAAAAATTGATTTGTAAGTAAGACATTGTACGTTAGACGATTTAAAATTTTTTTTGCTTAACAGGATATTCATATCATAAATATAATTACTTTAAAAAACTTTTAAGTTAAACGGTTTTATTTTATGCTTTTTTTTTGTTAATATTGTATTGTCATCTAAATTAAATGTGTGTACCAAATTTCAGATCAATCTGACAACGGCAAGGTGCTTAAATTTCAGTTTCTAATTTTGACCCAAATAAATAAACAAACAAATTCCGTACGGGTCGAGCTAAATAAAACCGTTTAAAAACCGTTTAACAACAGCATTATGAACGAATGTGTCATTGAAGAGCAAAACCTCTGTACAAAAGGTATTGGGAAATAGTCCACGCGGCCCCCATGGAAAACAGATTGATATATATTGACCGATTGGTTTGCTTTCAATTAATATCGCCATTATAATTTTCTTATTGAAAACAATTGCATCATCACTCCGGCACGTGTTGCGATCGCGAAAAACGTCGACATCTGCGCAGAGTAATGTCGTCGTCGGATTGTATGTGCAGGTCTGCGTAAAATCAGCGGGCCACGGCCTCCGCGACCAACAGCCGTGACAATGGATCGTTACCTAACCGACAGTTAGTCGGAATAAGTGCCTTCCGCAATTACGAACGCTACCGTAGCTTCCGCAAATACCGCGGCCCGCTGCTGCGCATTGCTTCATTGCTATAATCGATTTGATTGCGCATCGAAATCGCTTTAAGCTACGAATCGACGATCGTTTTCTAGAAGCGGCCGCTTTTGTTTCCGCCATGCTTAATGTTTAATTGCTTTGTTGATTTACCTCGTTGGTTAGATAATTTTGTGCGTATTGTGAAATTGATTCGTTTTTCAAAGATTGAATGTAATTTTCAACCTAACCACCCGATCTAAGAGTTGGCGATTCTGTTTCCTCTGAATTTGTCCAAGTCATCTTTTACTGACAGCTAATTTAATTTGCTGTCGGGAAAAGTAGATTCTAACACAGCGCTCCTGGTGTGTCATTCTGTCATCCATCACTTGTTACGGCTGTCAAAAAAATTGTCAGATCACTGTAGATTATGAGACAGGCATTTGGCATTCGGAGCTGTTTTCAACATGTATTAAGCCTTTGGATGTAGGTACTGATTTTGAATTTGGTTAAATAACCTGAAACCTGTGACTGACATACGCACTTTATGAAAAGCACATTAATAACTATCACTACATAGTATAAAACAAAGTCGTCCCGCTGTCTGTCTGCCCCTATGTAGCGGTTTTTACTAGATAGAGTGATTCAAGAGTAAGTTTAATATGTATAATATATTGCACCCGTGCGAAGCCGGGGCGGATCGCTTGTTAGTTATAAAAGCAACGTTACCTAGGATTTTATAATAAGTTTACCAGCAAGTGCTATATGAAAATAAAAACTCTAACGTCTACGAATATTGAAATCCTTACGTTCGTATTTCTCTCTCCAATTACACCAGCGAAAGCAAAACAATTTCGTCTCGCAAAATTGCGATATCCGGTCAACGCTCTCGGGTTCATTCCGGCCCATGTTACGTTCGATAAAGGCATTTCATATACAAAATTAACTCCGACCTTCCGCCACAGCCGAGAAGTGTGGGTGAAAACAGAATACACGCTAATTTATTCTAATAAAGTTAACACGTGTAACTTACCTCACGACGTGACCCACAAATACCTCACAACGTGAGGTATTTGTGGGTCACGTTGTGAAGTATTTGTGGGTCAACCGCGGGGAAGCTCGCTTACTCTCGTGCCCCGGTCACGACCGATCCATGAGGCAACTAGCAATCAGAGTTTTTCCTCCGTCCTCCGCTAACCATATTTAAACATTAACGATGGAGTCTGAATCGACTGAACAATTGTTATCACGTGCTCAGCGGTGAAGGAAAACATGTTGAGGAATCAGCATATTTTCGAAATAATAACAAAAAAAGTATTTCGAAAATATGTGAAGTCCGCCAATCCGCAGTAGGGTCGCGTGGTGGACTACCAGTGGAGCAGTGGGACATGTATAGACTGATACTTTACTTTTATCTGCATTGGCACGAGTTTTATAGTTATTAACTGACTATGTATATAAGTGGGTTAGTGTTTACTATGTATAAGGTTTAATGCTAATAACGTCTGAGGACTTCTCTGGCGACTCATTAGGATGATTCTAGAATAAGAAATGGAGTTGTGTTATTGTCTTAATGCTGTAGTGGGCCGCTGGCGATCCTGCCATTTGTGTACGATGTTTTTACGACCGTTTTTTACTGCATCATAAAAGTGATAGCTGCTACGTCATATACCAGCGATATTAAGTTATATGGAAGAAAATTTTATACAATAAAAGCGATTTTTTTTATTTAGTTTTTTCAAGATTTTCCTCTATTGAATTGTTGAATTGAATCCATATCTTTCAAGTAATGAAAATTGATTGTTTAACGAAACGTCCAATAAGATTTGGTTGCTATTCATAATATTTATTCAAAATTTTTCTAACTTTCTCTCTCCTCGTTTTAATTAAATTTTGTTGTGAGTGTGGGAGGGTTCGTTTTATCGCTTTCAACGTGGAAATTAAAAAGAAACAACCTGCCGGTTTCAATATTTTCTTAGTGAGCAAGGTATAATTCGATTCGGTCGCGAATTTCTACAGTAGTAAAATAAATAAAAATGATTGAATTTTTAAACTATTGAAGTTTTCTGTTAATCCTAGTTTGCCTACGAGCTATTTTCACAGAAGCATAATTTGATACAGAAATAAAAGAATACTATTGCCCAATGAATATGTGCAAATGTATAAAGGTAAAAGTAAAGTGAGGTAGCCGGGGCCCACTTTGTTTCAAGGTGGCAACGCAATTGCAACACTACGGGCGTTGGAAATGTCCGTGGGCGGCGGTTATCACTTAACATCAGGTGAACCGCTACTCTCTTACATAAATAGTAAAGTAACAGCCTATATGTGTTCCACTACTGGGCAAAGGCCCCATGTTTACAGAGTTATTAGGGCATAATCCACCAAGCGACCCCACGGCGGAATGGCATATCGTGATAGCTCCGTATTCGAGTGCTCGCTTTTAAGTCAAAACTCTCGAGCAAGCTGAGTTTAAATCCCGGTGATATCATCAATGAAATTTTTAATTTTTAAGTGCCGATTTATAACATGAACATCGGTCTCAACTCATCACGATTTATCGACCCAACAACAAAAACTCAACGTAACAACAATAAACTGCATAAATATAAGAAACTCGATTGACAAATTATAAAATATTCTTTTCCCAATTCGCATTTTTATAAATATTTTATATCTACTACTTGCTGTCGTAACTATGCGATACTTGGAATGTCAACTGACTGTTATAATAATATTTTTGTATTAATATTTAAATTTAAAATTCCGTTGTCATTCTGCATTGTGATGCTATGAATAAATACATAAATAAATTTTATATAAAAATATTGTCACATCATTATTTTCGAAAAATTTAATTTAATCTGTAAATAGCTCTAGCTGTACAAATAATACCGTCGTCTCGTAAGGGGCCTTAATCCCGTGAATCGTAAAATTCTATCAATACTTTTATGTCGGTACCAACCAACATTACTATAATCCCTCTCGAGAAGAGCTTAGAACTCGTAGACGTTTGGAGCTTAGGGACTTATGAATGATCAATACTTAGCGACAAAAATCGAAGCCAACTTCGCAGGGTGGTTAAAAAGTTCTCTACAGGATTCACGACGCCACATCCACTTTTAGTCTAATAATTATTTTCTATAAAGAAAATAGTTATTACACTAAAAGCGAACTAGAAGTTTAGGATGAAGTATTATAGATACTCGTAATAATATAGAATATAAGTCTGTTATAATAAAAGCGGAGTGGAATCAATCACTACTCCTAGAAGTGATTGCGGGAATTAGTTTTCAATGATAAAGTTCAATGAACTCTTTTTTATCATACAGACTAAATAAACGAAAATTGAAACAGACTGGCGATGGGTGTGAACATATTTTGTAGTTCAGTCGAGTGCAGAACATTGTTGATACTTATTTTCTTCCCAGTCGCTATTCGCAACTTATTTCTTTTCTACGTGATCGTCGTTCTTATGAAGTAATAGCGACCATCTTAACTCTTAATTCATACGTATGTGTTTATTTTAAATTAAACGTTTATACATGAGCGATTAATTAGAGTTCGTGAAACTCATTTTATGTTGAGCACAAAAAAAATGAATTTTAGTTACTTTGAAGCCAGTAAGTATACA